AACCCAGCCAGAGGGGTGAGGTAGAATTACGTTTTTAAAAAATTACCATTATTATTATTATTATTATTATTATTATTATTATTCCTTTCGTAGGAATTGTAATGTGCTGTGCTAGGTGCTGTATGGTTTTTAATTGTATTTTTACAGGCAAGTAAAACACAAACCACCTGAATGTGTCTCGGTCACAGAAAGGATTGAATGACTCAATCAGAATCACTTGCTTCCCCGCAAAGGAGTCCAACTGGAAAGTGCTCAGAGGATGGAGCTATGGATCACACAGAGACCCACCGGGCACCCTCCTCTGCAGGCAATCTCAGGCCATGCCACACAGTTTGGGCTTTACTGTCCTGTTTTTTTTTTATTTGCTTTGATTTCCCTCCAGGAGGTTTGCAGCTGTGCCCAGAAAAGGATTCTTAAAAGGGAAGAGATTTATGGTGGGGGTGGGGGTGTGTGGAATTATTGAAAGGGCAGCTCAAAGCCCTACAGACGTCTCCAAGAGAGCAGTCTGAGTACTTGGGACTGGGAGAGCCCATTTGAAGAGAAGGAGGGAAAAGGAGGTGTGGGAAGGCCGGCAAAGCATTCCCTACATATTTCCATAATCAAGCACATCACTGTTGGGTTATTTCTCCTCCTTTTTTTAAAAAAAGAGAGACAGATGGAGGCATCCTAGTCAGAAAAAGCAACCTATTGTTAGAACGGCATGCAAGTGTTTGAGAGAGCTGCAATGTGTCACAAAAAACGCCAATTTCCCCTCATTTAGGGCAGGGTTGGGTGGAATCTCAAGTCGGGGGGCCAGATGTGGCCCCCAGATCTCTCTCTCTGGCCCTTGGAACTCTCTTGAGGCCACACCCTCTTTCCCCAGGCCACGCCCTTCACTGGACTTGCTGCACATCCTAAGTGAGGGTGTTTGGGCTTAGCTGAAAGGTGTTTTTGACCTCTGCCCATGCCCCTTTGCTTGCCAGGATGGAGGACAGGCAGAGGGGCCTGTATGAGTGGGTGCCGAAATTACCCTGCAGCACATTTACCTTTGTTTCTTGGGGGACAGGAAGCCTGCAGGTGTGGAGGACTCCCTGATCCAGAATGGGGTGACTGTGCCCCTGAAGGAGCAGGTGCGCAGACTGGGAGTCATTTTGGACTCACAGCTGTCCATGGAGGCGCAGGTCAATTCTGTGTCCAGGGTGGCTGTTTACCAGCTCCATCTGGTATGCAGGCTGAGACCCTCCCTGCCCGCGGACTGTCTCGCCAGATTGGTGCATGCTCTAGTTATCTCCCACTTGGACTACTGCAACGCGCTCTACGTGGGGCTACCTTTGAAGGTGACCTGGAAACTATAACTAATCCAGTATGCGGCAGCTAGACTGGTGACTGGGGGCGGCCACTGAGACCACATAACACCGGTCCTGAAAGACCTACATTGGCTCCCAGTACGTTTCCGAGCACAATTCAAAGTGTTGGTGCTGACCTTTTGAGCCCTAAGCGGCCTTGGTCCAGTATATCTGAAGGAGCGTCTCCACCCCCATCGTCCAGCTCCAAGGAGGGCCTTCTGGAAGTTCCCTCCCTGCGAGAAGTGAGGTTACAGGGAACCAGGCAGAGGGCCTTCTCAGTGTTGGCACCCGCCCTGTGAAACGCCCTCCCATCAGATGTCAAGGAAATGAACAACTAAGTGGTACCTCCAGGTACGAACGAGATCTGTTCTGGAGGTCCAGCCGCATCCCGAGGAATTCACAACCAGAGGACCGCTTCTGCGCATATGCGCGCGATCAAAACCTGGAAAAATACTTCTGGGTTTGCCGTGTTCGCATCCCGAAGTTTATGTATCCAGAGGGATATGAAAGCGGAGATACAACTGTATCTGAGTTTTAGAAGACATCTGAAGGTAGCCCTGTTTAGGGAAGTTTTTTATGTTTGATATTTTATTCTGTTTTTAATCTGTTGGGAGCCGCCAAGAGTGGCTGGGGAAATGCAGCCGGATGGGCGAGGTATAAATATATTATGAATTATTATTATTATTAAGACCAGTAGCAGCAGGTAGCAGGGTGGTTCCGTGAATAAAGAGGATGCATACATTCTGCATAATGCCCCCCACCGGACTCTGTGGCTTTGTTTTGAGTGGGCCCCAAGGCTGGGAGGCTCTGGGTTCTAAAAACCCACTTTGCAGGGCAAAGGTGCAGTTGGTTGCTGCCAGACCCACCGGCCACACCCACGTCGTTAAGACATTTGTGAAAGCAAGTGGGATACAAGAATCAACAGAAATAAACTGAGCAGCATCTGCCCGTCGCCACTCTGCTTTCGCTTAAACCTCCTAAGAACTTTCTTGGCTGGACTACAAAGCCACCACGTAGCTCTTCTTACAGATGAGATACAATGCAGCTGAAACAAAACCCTTTCACCATCACACCTGCCAAAGACGGGGGGGGAGACCCACTAAACCACCCAATGAGAAAGCAAAAAATGAGTTTCCATATGCTCACTTCCCGGAATGGATTTAAGGGGCCTGCTTAAAAGCACTGGGTGATCAATGTGCCTCCCCAAATAGAATCTGCTGATTAAGGACCACATTTTCCTTTGGAAAGCAACACATCTATGTGTTGAAAAGTTTCCGAGAGAGAAAGAGAGAGAGATTTGGTGGAGGGCAAGAGAAAGGGTCCTAGTGTTCTTGTTTTTCAATTTGATCCTTTTACATGGGTTTGTACGTTTTGTGGTATTTTATGCATTGTAACTTTCCACTATTTTCATTGATTATAGTTCACACTTAAGAATTGCAATAAGAATCACCAAACAGTTTAATTATTATTTGCTGACATTTAATTTTACGCTCTGCTATTACGTTCTAACAGATTACTGACTCTTGCTTTATTCAATATGTTGTTAGTTGTAAAGTAATCTTTTTATTGTGACTTTTTTTGTATGGGGTCAGATTGTTATTAGGCGAGTGATTTGTCTGTTTTGTTGTTTCTTCAGTTTGAAAACCGCTTTGTGTATGGCGCAATATAGAAAGGTGGGAACACAAATAAAAGTGGAAACGGAAAAAGTGAAAGGAAAGGGTAGGGGGCTCCAGACCGAGGGCCATTTATGGTCCCTTTGCACCTCTCCGCCTGGCCCTCAGGACTTTCCCCAGGCCACACCCCGCCTTCACCTCACCCCTCCTTCCATGTTTTTGCCTGGCAGAAATGTGTTCTCGGACTCAATGCCTCTTGCTTGGCTGCATGGAGGGCCGAGAGCGGTTATAGAAATGAGCCTCCTGTCCAAAGGTAAAATGCTAATTCGTTGATCCACCCACTTTTCCCACTGGTCCTGCCCACCAACAGTATGTGGCCCTTGGAAGGATGGTCAGATGAAAAGCTGTGCCCTCCTCTGACCCACAGCCAGCCTCTCTGGGCAGCCAAGGCGACTTCTCAAGAAGCCTGCAGTTGGTCTGCAAAGATTTATTGGTCTGCAAAGAGCTCAAGGCAGGTTCCCAAGAATGCCGCTTTGCAGACCAATAAATTTATCTCAGCCTGGCCTACACCACAGGCTTGTTGGCAGGAGAAAACTAGGGGTAGCGGAAACCTACACAGAAGAAGGGAGATAGATAGGGGATAAATAAATGCACGGCGTTTTATCGCAAGCCTAACCCTGCAGTCATCTGAAAAGTCAAGAAGGCAGATGAGGAAGGCCTCTCCGAAGGAGTGCGAAAGAGGCAAACTACATCAGTGCTTTGATACAGGAGAGTCCAGCTAAACATCAGGAAGAACTTTCTGATAGCAAGAGCTGTTTGGGAAGTGGAATGGTCTCCCTCAGAAGGTTGTGCGCTCTCCTTCCTGGGAGGTTTTTAAGATTGTCTGGCCATCTAAGAGAAAAAGACAACAGAGACTTTGAAAAAGACTGGGACCCATTCATATTATGTTTGCAGAAACAAAGAAAGACAATAGACTTGATGGCAGGATTTAAATAAACACCCACATTATCAGCATCAGAAAATGTTTGGAAGCTAGTGAAAATAAGACGATGTATCTAATTTTATTTTTATGTTTTTAAGGTTTGATGTTATGTTATTAATAACTTTTCCTGTTGAGAGATAGCAAAGCGGGTGAAAATAGAAACAAACCAGAAACGTTAAGAATTTGAGATGTATGTAATGAATGAAAAATGAATTATTATTTTTTAAAAAAAGATTGTATGGCCACCTGTCATTGCTGCTTTAGCCGAGAGTCCTGCATTGCAGGGAGGGCTGGACTAGATGAGCCCCGGGGTCCCTTCCAACTCTACAATTCTATGATTCTACAGGAATAGGAACCGAGAGGCAGTGTGGTGCAGTGGTTAAGGTTTCAGACTAGGAGGGCAGTGGCAGGGGAGGGTGGGAAAGAGGCCACAGTTCGCGCATCTCCGTTCAGCCATGAAGCTCACTGGGTGACCCTGGGCCAGCCACTTCCAGCCTTGCCTACCTCGCAGGGTTATTAGTGAGGATTAAGAAGAACCTTTCCTGCCAACCTAGCAGTTCGAAAGCACACCAGTGCAAGTAGATAAATAGGTACCGCTCCAGCGGGAAGGCAAACGGCGTTTCTGTGCGCTGCTCTGGTTTGGCAGAAGCAGCTTAGTCATGCTGGCCACATGACCCGGAAGCTGTACACCGGCTCCCTCGGCCAATAAAGCGAGATGAGCGCCGCAACCCCAGAGTCGGCCACGACTGGACCTAACGGTCAGGGGTCCCTTTACTTTTACCTAAGAAGAACCTTATGTGCCTTTGGAGGAGGGGGCAACACGGTTCCATAAAACCTGGTGGCTGTCTTGTGGCGGCTCCTCGGTCTAAAGCTTTTCACACGGGTCCTTATTATCCAAGGCAACGAGGCATTCCAAAATCCCCATAAGAGAAGGGCTCTGTTGGAACAAGCCAAGGCTGATTCAGCCCAGTATCCCGGAGCCAACCCTGACGCCTCTGGGAAGCCCACAAGCGGGACGGGGAGGCAACTGCCCCTTCTCCCCGCTCGCAAGCCCTGGGGTCCGGCGCTCCCAAGGCGTACCTTGGAAATGAGTTCATCGTGGTTTGCCAGGTGGGCTCTGCAATGGATGCAGCTGTAGGTTCTGTGGCAGGAAGGCAGGTAAGCTTGGAACGTCTTGGACCGTGTCATCTTCACCATTGGAGCCACGGAGCGCTGGGTGAACTCGGGGGTGGCCCACGAGGCGCTCCCACAAGACGGGTCGCAGGGGAAACACTGGAACACGCAGGTGAAGGCCGTGGCTTGGCAGGGCGCAGGTGTGGGGCAGGCTCCACACGCTGGCGACGGCTTCGGGGAAAGAGAACCTGGCGCAGGGGCCGGTCGACGACCTGCTCGGACCTGCGGAGGGCGGAAGAAGGAAAAACAAGGAAATGAAACAAAGGGTTTAAATAGATAAAAAGGCCGCACAAGCAGACACCTGAAATTTCCCAGGTTCCCGTTCTGAAGGGGCAACCCTGATATTTTTCCAAGCAGAAAGTTGAATTGGCATGCAGACACCCCTGAAATCTCTCAAGTTCCCGTTCTAAATGAGAAGCACCAGGTTTTCCAATAAGAAAATTGAATTTAAGCCTGGGCTTACACACACACACACACACACACACACACACACACACACAAAATGCACGCACACACGCAGAAACATCTATAATAGCTCAAGTTCCAGTTGTGAATGACGAACTTGTGTTTGCAGATGCACACACACCTAAAACCTCTCAAGTCTGTTTCTTGCATGAGCAGCCCTAATCATTTTGCAAGGGGGAAACAAATAAATTAAAAACCTGTCCCAGTTCACACATCAACACACACCTGGAATCTGTCAACTCCCAGTCCCCAATTATTTGCCGAGAAGAAAATGCAATTTGAAATATGCCCGAGTTTTCCCCTCAGCTCCTGGAAACGGCTTTCCTTACGGCACAACCTTAGGTGGGTTTACTCAGAAGTTAGTCCGAGCAAAGCCAGTGAAAAATTTAGCAAGCATGCCGACGTCTCCAACACCAGAACTCTCGAAAGGTGTCTTCGGTAGAGATACGAACACTAGAAATTTCCTTTTTTTAAAAAAGAGATAAAAAATAGGGGTGGAGAAAAAGAGCTTCTCCAGTAACACAGTTGTGCTTTCACAACACAGAATACAAAACAGGTTAGGCCTGTTTGCTTCCTGACCAGTTTTCAAGTTTCTAGCCCTCTGTCTCTTTATTTTTAAATCAACAAAATGACGCCTCCAGGGGTGCATTTGTGGGGCTAAAACTGCCAGTTTTTACAGTGCAAGCTTATCTATATGTTGACTCAGAAATATAAGCTCCATTAAGCTCAATGGGCCTTAAATCCCAGGAAAGTGTGCGCAGGATTTGTAGTCTTAGCACCTAAGTATTTCAAGTATGAGGAAGGGCAGCCTGCAGCTCAGTGAGAGAGCACTTGCTCTGCATGCAGAAGGTCGCAGGGTTTAATCTCTGGCATCTCCAGGTAGGGCTGGGAGGCACGCCTGCCTGGAACCTTGGAGAGAGGCTGCCAGTCAGTGCAGACAATACTGGGCTAAATGGACCAAAGGTCTGATTCAGTATAAGGCTGGTTCTTATGTTCTCAACAGAGACCCAGGTCGCCTCCCAGACAGGCCTATATCCTTTTACCCAGGGCATGCGGGGAACCTGTAGCTTTCCAGATGTTTGTGAACTCCCACCAGCCTCAGGCAGCGTGGTCAGGGATGATGGGAATCCAACAACATCTGGGGCAGAGTTTCTCAACGTTTTTAGCTCCCCTTATAGCTAAAAATCCTACGCTGCCCCTTCAAACATGGCTCGCCTGATTATTTTATTTGCAACAAAATTTTGGGACTTTCACATTTTTTAACTTAGGCTGCTGCTGTTTTTTGAAAATACAGTGTTTTTCGCTCTATAAGACACACCAGACCACAAGTTTTTGGAGGAGGAAAACAAGAGGAAAAAAAATCTGAATCTCAGAAGCCAGAACAGAAAGAGGGATTGCTGCGCAGCGAAAACAGCGATCCCTCTTGCTGTTCTGGCTTCTGGGATAGCTGCGCAGCCTGCATTCGCTCCATAAGACGCACACACATTTCCCTTTACTTTTTAGGAGGGAAAAAGTGAGTCTTATAGAGCAAAAAATACGGTACTCACCCGCCCCTCCCCATATTTTCATAAGCACCCCCCAGGGAGAGGCATACCCTCCTAGTTGAGAAACCATGATTGGGAGGGGTGTCACAGGTTCCTACCTTAGGGTCACAGGCCCTCCCCCAATTCAAAATATATTCATCATCATGTCCACACATTCCCAAACTCAGCCCTCCAGATGTTCTGGGACTACAATTCCCATCATCCCTGACCACTGGTCATGTTAGCTAGGGATGATGGGAGTTGTAGTCTGGAGGGCCGAGTTTGGGGAAGCCTGATCATTTCTCTAGTCCTTTTACTTATAGAGATGGTCAACGGATGGGGTCATTGTCAAGGAACTGCTTTTACTTATTGAATAAATTGCCATATATTTGTGGGGCTAGAACTCCCACCAGAGTTGCTTGGGGCTGATGGGAGTTGTAGTTCATCTAGAAGGTGCAAGGCTGGTCAACATGGGTTTACAGTTTACAACTCTATAAAAGGTAAAGGTAAAGGTACCCCTGCCCGTACGGGCCAGTCGTGTCCAACTCTAGGGTTGTGCGCTCATCTTGTTCAAGAGGCCGGGAGCCAGCGCTGTCCGCAGACACTTCCGGGTCACATGGCCAGCGTGACTAAACGGCATCTGGCGAGCCAGCACCAGCGCCGCACACGGAAACGCCGTTTACCTTCCCGCTATAAAGCGGTACCTATTTATCTACTTGCACTTAGGGGTGCTTTCGAACTGCTAGGTGGGCAGGAGCTGGGACCGAACGACGGGAGCGCACCCCGCCGCGGGGATTCGAACCGCCGACCTTGCGATCAGCAAGTCCTAGGCACTGAGGTTTTACCCACAGCGCCACCCGCGTCCCAACTCTATACTGACAGCAATTGGGGGTGGTAGCAGTTGAAAAAATATTGAACGAAATAGGTCCTTTGCATATTTACTCAGAAGTAGGAAGTTAATCCTACTGTGTTCTACGGGACCTACTTAGCTGTTATTGGGCTACTATTTGTATTGACTTAAACGGTACCTTTTTAAAAAAAAAATCACGTTCAAGCAGCAAGTTGCACCATTTTCATATAGATATAGATATATAGTTTTGGGCATATGCTGATTTGATGCAGGTTTCAAATATATTAAAAACTCAGGCAATCGATCAACTGAGGACCAAATGACAGAATATTTTTCATACACAGGAACTGGCTGTTTTTATTCTGAAGAGGAGATAAAAAGCAGCAGCCCCCATTTGGTCAGGAATGTGCCCCGATCGAGATTGGGGTCCACACACCAGGTCCTTGCTGAAAATCATCTCTCTGCAGCAGCTGAAGATAAAGGCTTTCTGAAAAGAGCATCTTTGGGAGCCAAAAAGCACATGGATAGCATTGTTGCTGGACAATCCCTGATCTGCATTATGGCCCCAGCTGTTCTTCCTCCAATTTGGAAGTGGCCAGTTTAAACAATCCTTCTGCATATTATCTGCTAAAACCATAGGGTATTCATTCTTTTTGATGTAAAAACACTTCCCCCCATCTATTGTATTACTTTGGTTTTTGTTTTTTTAATCACTTTATTATCTGGTTAACTTGGAGGGGAAACACCCCAGCAAACAAAATGAAAGGGGGAAAGCAGAAAAAGTTTTCTCTAAGCTGGCTGAAGTAACTTGCCAAAAGCAGAAAAATTGATCTCACAAAAGGTGACCTCCAACTATTTCTGTCCTGCTGAAAACCATCTCCCTAACAAAAAGACCCCAAACCACAAATCTCAACACAATGAAGGCGTGCCCCCAGCTCAGCAGAGGCAGCGCTGCTGATCACTCAGGGGGATTTGAGAGATACCGCAGTGGATGGAGACACTAGGAGAGAAGAAGAGATCCCAATCGATCCAGCCGCCTGGCTCACTAGACAGAAGGGAAGTTTCAACCACAGACTTCGTCCCCCACAGAAACCCCTGGGGTGTTTAGAGAATGTGAAGCAGAAAGACCCCCAAACTGTGTGCTGGGGTACCAAACCCTCCAAGTGTCCCTATTTTCCAGGGACGTCCCTGATTTAGAAAAGGCCATCCCAGTTTCTGATTTGATCCCAGAATGTCCCACTTTTCCTTAGGATGTCCCTATTTTCATTGGAGGAATGTTGGAGGGTATGGAGTTATGCGACCCCTGAGCTGTCTGAAGGCAATCCTGTATAGGGAAGTTCTTTTAAAAAAAATGTTTAATGTTTTATTATCTTTTCATATATGTTGGAAGCTGCCCAGAGTGGCTGGGGCAACCCAATAAGATTTGTGTGGTACAGTGGTACCTCGGGTTAAGTACTTAATTCGTTCTGGAGGTCCATTCTTAACCTGAAACTGTTCTTAACCTGAAGCATCACTTTAGCTAATGGGGCCTCCTGCTGCTGCCGCGCCGCCGGAGCACGATTTCTGTTCTTATCCTGAAGCAAAGTTCTTAACCTGAAGCACTATTTCTGGGTTAGCGGAGTCTGTAACCTGAAGTGTATGTAACCTGAGGTACCACTGTATAAAGAGTAAAATTATCATTGTGGAATGGGACATCGCTATTTTCATCGGAGAAATGTTGGAGGGTATGGGATACCATTGCCCCACAGGATAAGAAGGCCCCAGGCCCCATATGCGCCATACATGAAAAGTGGGGTCATACCAAGGAATTCTGGGAGCTGTAGTTTGTTAAGGGTGCTAAGTATGGCGAGGAGGCCCCTACTCCCTTCACAGAGCTACAATTCCCAGAGTTCCCTGGGAAGGTGGAGTATTAAATGAAATAGCTCCCAGCTACCGTAAGGCCGGCGTTGAGGGAGGATTGGACTTGATGACCCTTGGAGTCCCTGCCAACTTTGTGATTCTAACGTCAGATGCTCCAAAATGTCCCTAGCTGACGGTTTTCTCCCCAGCCAGCCACCGCGGATCCCTGTTCCGCTCTGCCCCAGGAGGGCAATGACAGGCACGAACACCTCACTTGTCTCGTAAACTGCTGAGCAAGGGCCCTCTGCCATCACCATCACAGTAAACTCAGCGCTTTTAAGCCTAAAAAAAAAAAGAGAGAGAAAGGGAACGCAACACTTTGCAGAACTGCCAACTGAGCAGATCGGCTTTTCAGCAGGGGAAAAAAAGGGAGGGAAGCCCTCAAGATGCTCTGAGTTTGCCTGCCGCTTGCCAAACCTCTCGGATTCCAGATTACGGAAGGTGAGACAGGCTTGGAACGCAGGTGGGCTACCAGCCACATTGGC